GTAGCTGCTCAAGGCACAGTGAGTGTATTTCTACATGCAGTGCGTTGTAGGGGTAAGGAAACTGAGGCCCACTAGGTGCACCCCCCCAGGTCAGACATGATCAGCAGGGCCTGTGTTGTTTCATTTGTCCCTGCAACCCCAGCACCCAGTACATATGGTGAGGAAAGAGCTGTTGAATGAGCAAACGGAAAGTTACATAATTTGCCAGGGCTGTACAAGCCGGTACCTGGCAGAGCCAGAGTGCCAGCCCACGTCTTCCTGACTCTGCCTTGAGCTCCTCCCCGCTCATCCAGAACACATGACTGCAAGGGTTGGTTTGGGACTATGGGGTCTCCACGACAGGTATATTAGACTGCGTGGGCTGCTGTGACAAAGGACCACAGGCTGGGTGGCTTATTCAACAGCAGGAGCTATCTCTCATACTTCCGGAGGCTGGACAGCGCACCGCCAAGGTGCCGGCTGAAGCAGTGCCTGGCGGGGCTCTCTCCAGCTTGCAGACGGCCACCTGCTGCTATGCAGAAAGAGTGAGCACTCTGGTGACTGTTTTTTTAAACTTTTAATTTATTTATTTTTTAATTTTTAAATTGTTTTTGCTCCATTATACTGCCCCCCCTTCCCCCGCAGCAATCACCACACTGTGGTCCATATCCACGAGTCCTTTTTCTTTTTTGCTCAGACCCCTAACCTACCCCCACCTCTCTAGCTGTCATCTGCTCTCCATCTATGGTCTGCCCCCATTTTCCTTGTTTGTTCATGTTCAGTTCGTTAGATTCCACATATGAGTGAGATCATATGGTATTTGTCTTTCTCTGACTGGCTCATTTCATTTAGCATAATGTTCTCCAGGCCCACTCATACTGTTGCAAAGAGTAAAATTTTCTTCTTTTTTTACAGCCAAGTAGTGTTCCATTGTGCAAATGTTCCCTAGTTGTTTTATCCACTCATCTAATGATGGACACCTGGGCTGCTTCCATATCTTGGCGATTGTCAATAATGCCGCAGTGAACATAGATAGGGGTGCTTATGTTCTTTCAAATTAGTGTTTTGGGTTCCTTTGGATATATTCCCAGAAGTGGGATTGCTGGGTCGAAAGGCAGATCCATTTTTTAATTTTTTTAAGGATTTTATTTATTATTTATTTTTAGAGAGAGAGAAGGGAGTAAGAAAGAGAGGGAGAAACAACATGTGGTTGCCTCTCACGTGCACCCCACTGGGGACCAGGCCTACAACCCAGGCCTGTGCCCTGACTAGGGATTGAACCGGCAACCCTTTGGTTCACAGGCTGGCACTCAGTCCACTAAGCCACACCAGCCAGGGCCACTTTTAATTTTGTGAGATATGTCCATACTGCTTTCCACAGTAGATGCACCAGTCTGCATTCCCACTGACAGTGCAAAAGGGTTCCCCTTTCTCCACATCCTCTCCAGCACTTTTTGTTTCTTGATTTATTGATGACACCCATTCTGACAGGTATGAGGTGATATCTCATTGTGGTTTTAATGTGCATTTCTCTGATAATTTTTGACATTGAGCATCTTTTCATATGTCTATTGGCCATCTGTATGTCCTCTTCAGAGAAGTGTCTATTCAGGTCCTTTGCGCATTTTTTAATTGGGATGTTTGTTTTTTTGGTGTTGAGGTTTGTAAGTACTTTATAAATTTTGGATATTAACCCCTTATCAGGCGTATGGGCGAATATGTCCTCTCATTCTGTGGGTTGTCCTTTTTTGTCAATGATTTGCTTTGATATGCAGAAATTTTTTAGTTTGATGTAGTCCCATTTGTTTATTTTTTCTTTTGTTTCCCTTGCCTAGGGAGATATATACACGATTTTAAAAAGTCTGAGATTTTGCTGCCTATGTTTTCTTCTAGGATTTTTATGGTTTCAGGTCTAACATTTAAGTCTTAGGTTTATTTTGAGTTTGTTCTTGTGTGTGGTGTAAGAAGGTGGTCTAGTTTCATTTTTTTGCATGTATCCATCCAATTTTCCCAACACCATTTATTGAATAAACTATCTTTAGCCCATTGTATGTGCTTGCTTCCTCTGTCGAATATTAATTGACTATAACAGTGTGGGTTTACAGTTGACATACAATATTACATTAGTTGTGGGTGTACACACTCGTGATTAGACATTTACATTAACTTGGGATGTGATCACCCCAATAAATGTAGTTCCCCTCTGGCACCATACAGAGTTACTGCAATGTTGTTGGCTATCCCTGTGCTGCCCTTTACATCCTTATGACTGTTCCATAACTGTCTGGAGTCCCTCATCAGGACACTAATTCTGTCAGGTCAGGGTCCCACCCGAAATGATCTCTTTTCACTTTAATTACTCTCACATAGATAGGCCCCTGTCTCCCAAAACAGTGCCACTGGGGGTTAGGGCTTTGATGTAGGGATTTTATGGGGACAAAAGCAGCCCCGAGCAGACTCGGACAGTCCTGTCTTTCCCACAGGCACCCTCTGTGAATGCTACGATGAGCTGGGCAATCGCTACCAGCTGCCCATCTACTGCCTGTCACCGCCCGTGAACCTGCTGCTGGAACACACCGAGGAGGAGAGCACGGAGCCGCCGGAGCCCACACCCGGTGTGCGCCGTGAGTTCCCACTGAAGGTGCGCCTCTCCACAGGCAAGGACGTGAGGCTCAGCGCCAGCCTGCCTGACACAGTGGGGCAGCTCAAGAGGCAGCTGCACACCCAGGAGGGCATTGAGCCGTCCTGGCAGCGATGGTTCTTCTCTGGGAAGCTGCTCACAGACCGCACACGGCTCCAGGAGACCAAGATCCAGAAAGATTTTGTCATCCAGGTCATCATCAACCAGCCCCCACCACCCCAGGACTGAGGAGCCCACAGACCCCTGGTAAGAGAGGCCAGGGAGGGCCTCTGCGGGGCTGAGAGTCCCCCAGGCTGGAACACCAGGCCCCCCACCCTTCTGCTGCCTTCGAGTGCTGGTATTTTCTTCAGGGGCACCTCCCCGCCGTATGGCTGCTGGGCGAGCCGCGAAAGGACCCTGCCTCCCAGGGACACCGTGCGCCACAGTGCCCAGCACCCAGGAAGCAGTGCTGCCACACAGGCCTTGCCAACCTTGTCGGAGAAAAGGAAAACTGGGGCCTTCACCCTGCCTCTCACCCACGGCAGGTTCGAGCCATGGGGGCTAGCCTGGAGGTCCATGAAGCCCAGATCTGTCATCTGGTGCTGCCAGCTGTGCTCACTCAGGGTCTGAAGCAGCTGCTGTCTCCCTCCCTTGCCCTCACCTCCTGACTCTGCCCTGGGCGCAGTGCCAGTCCCCTGGAGGGGAGGGTACCACTTGTGCGCCCCAGGGGCAGGGTGCCGGAGGCCAGCTTCTGTCTCTCCTGCCCCCAGCACAATTGGCAGAGATGAGGCGGGTGGCTGGACAGCTGGGCTGCTGTGCCAGGGGTCTGCACAGGGCCATCCCCTGGCTGTCATCCAAGTGGTGGGGGGTCTGCAGCCAGTTATGGCCCCACAGCAGGTCCCTGTGTACAGACATATCTGCATATTTATCAATAAAGCCTTTTGCTCCTTCTCTCGTCTGGCTTTGACTTTAGGCTCCGCTGCAGCTCTCTGGAGCCGTGGGAGCCAGTTCTGGTGGGGGAGCAGGTGTGTGCACGCTCCCCCAGCTGCTCTGGGTGCAGCAGAGAGTACAGTGGAGCAAGCCTGGCACTGCTAGTGCCTGGGCTCCCTGTTCTCGTGGGTCCTCAGGATAAACCACTTAACCTCCAAACCCGCTTTGCTTATTTTTGAAGTGGGTGGGATACCCCCTGCCCTGCCTCCTCCTCCCCCTCAGTTGCTGGGAGGATTAAGTGGGCTGACAGATGTGAAGAAGGCAGCATCTCAGAAAGGTCATGTTAGCTGCCTGCTGGTCTGTTTCTGCAACAGGAGGGCTCTGGCTTCCCGCTGCAGCCTGAGCCAGGCCCCCAGGACTGAGATGTGTGCGCATATCCTGGACACACTGTGCACTTGGTGATGTTAAAGCGAAATCTCTGGCAAATTTAGAGCATGTGTTGGCTTGCTCAGAGAAAAAAAGGAGTGGTTCCTGCGTGTCCTTAGGGAAAAGTGTGCACATATGCAGAGAGGGAGACCTTAGATAAGGTGGTTCAACCAAGGGCAGGCCCCGTGAGTGTTGCAGAACCACAGGGCTGTGGTGGCCGAGGTTGACAGGCAGGTTAAACACTGGTCATGGTGACCCAGGGCTGGCTCCCACAGTTCCAGGTGCGGGGCTGAGCAAGTTCAGGTCTGCTTCTCCAGTGGGGATTATTTTTCTTTCTCAGTGAGCACGGCTGGTTCCCAGTCAGAGTGGCTTGACCGGGAAACAGGAGAAAAGGGCAATCATCGGAGCTGGTGTCATCATCTAGGCTTGGCACTGCACCCTGGCCCTTCCACCGGTTCCCTGAGGCCCCTCTTGAAGCAAGACCCTGTGCCTCCTGCAGAGGCCCCCTGAGACAGGTGGCCGGCTTTGTCAGGGACTAAAGGACATCGAACAAAAGGCAGGAATGCTTTGCTAGGGGGCACTGTGGAATCCCACAGAGGCAAACGCCTGCGTGAGCTGGAGCACAGAGGGAGGCAGCTGCCCTTGCCCCCACCCCCCGCCCTGGCACTTTGGCCGGGATGAAACAGTCTGCCCCTTCTCAGAGCCAGCAGGGCCTGTTCACAGGACAGCCTGGGGACATAGAACTGTCTTGGGTCCCCACATTTGACTCTCAGGCCCCCTTACTAGCACTGCCTGGGTATAGTTTCCAGGCGTCCAGCAGGTGGCACTGCCAGCAGGGCTAGGGGCAATGAGCGGGTCCTTTGTGTGGCCCAGCTGCCCTGGCAAAGGACCAGCTGGGCCCAAGCACTCAAGACCGGCTGGGCAGGCTCCTTCCTATTAGTCCCTGCTCTCAGGGTTCTGTGCCCTCTGGCTCCAATAGGCTGGAGATTGTGGGGGGCAACTGTCCTTGCCTCCTCCTGCTCCCTGGGGCTGCACAGGGTGAAGGTGACAGGTGGGGGAGGCAGGTGGAGAATTGAGCCGGTGAGCTCATGGCAAAGGCGCCCGGCAGGGCGGGGGTGGGTGCCCTGGTCTATAAAGCCCCCGTGGCTCTTGGGCCAGCAGAAGCGGGTTATGGACGGCACCATGGCGGGCTCCGAGGCGGTGCAGAGGGCCACGGCGCTTATCGAGCAGCGGCTGGCGCAGGAGGAGGAGAATGAGGTATGGGCAGGGGTGTGGATGCCTGAGGTGGTGCAGAGGGGATCCGGCTCTGCTGCCAAGGGAAGGAAGAGGCTGGCTGCCACACCTGTGGCAGGAAGGACAGGTGTCCCTGGGGCTCCATTCCAGCCATAGGGTGCTCCTGGTGGAGAAGAGGGTTGCTGGCAGTGGGAAACTGAGGTGTCAGCTTCAAGAATGGAGGGACAGTAGGCTACACTGGGCTCCCCCTGAGACTCTGCCCTCCCACCTGGACCTTGAGACGTGCCAGGCTGCACAGTAAGACAGCTAGGGAGCTGCCTGGGAATGTGGGTCCCTGAGATCCCCCGATTTCTGCATGGGAGACTGGGACAGGAGAAACTCACTGTTGGGTCACTGAAGAAGAATAAAGACTGGGAGCAAAGGGAAGAAGGGAGGGGTGCTGGGAAAGGAAGTGTGGGTTTCCCCAGGACTGTAGCCACACTTGGGAAGGCCTTTGAAGCATGGGGCTCTGGGCAATTGCATTTTCTCTGGAATAAAGAAATAGGAGAGGAGCATGCAAGCTCGTCCTACTCTTCATTTTACTTTAACTCATACTCAACCTAGAGTCTGCTCTGCCAAGGGCCCAGTGTCGTGAAGAACGGCAGGACCAGCAAGCCAGCCCCTGCCTCCTTTTTACCAGCCAGCATTCAGTTCAGCCAGCACCTGCCAGGTGCACAGTCATCTGAGAGACAGCAGAGGGAGGGAATGGGGAGATGGAGTGTTAATCAGAAGAGAGGGAGCACCAGGGGTGGGTGAGTCCTTCCGACGGTGGCCCTCAAGCACTTCCCTGTGGACAGGGTGGCATTGGAGCTGGGTCTTTGAGAACGGTGAGTGGGGATCAGGACGGGGGGCAGTATTCCAGACTGGAGAAAAGACAGGCGTTAAAGTTTGGGTGCAGGGAAGCGTGACTTAGGAGAAAGTCCGGGAGTAGGGGCCAAGGCTGGGAAAGGAGGCAGGACGAAAACCAGAGAGGGCCATGTGAAAGATACGTATTCTGTGGGTAGTGGGAGCCACTAAATATTGTTGAGGGAGGGAAGGTGGTGCCGTCTGACCTATTTTAGGAAGGCAGCTTCCATAGCCCTGAGAAGGACTTGTTGGAGGGGGGAAGACTGGCCGTAACAGGAATGGGAGGGAGAAGATAAGTCAGCTTTGAGGTAGACTCCATGCAAAAGAGAAGAGGGGCTGACTGGGGCGAGGGAGAAGGAAGCGGCAGGACTGCAGCGGAGGAAGAGACGAGGACTCAGGGAGGGACGGCAGGCCCGTGGGGGAAGAGTGTGGACTGAGCCCGCTGGACCCTGGCCCGGGCATCCCTGCGTGTCCAGGAATGCCACTTCCCACTCCCCCAGGGCATGTGCATCAGCGCTGGGCAGGTGAGTCATGCCACGGTGACATCTTTGGAGTGCTGGACACAGAGACCTTTAGCACGGGGACGGAGCAGTCCTCATCCATTCATTCATACAACAAATATAGCAGCAGGGCTCTCAGGACTCCAGGTGCCAGAGCCAGCCTTCCCATTGAGTACATCCCGGGGCCAGGCACTGTGCTAGGTATTGTACAGGCATTCTTCTGTTCACTCTGGACATCGTCTGTGAAGTAAGGTGGAGGTTTTGTTGTGTTTTACTACCTAGCAGCCAATGCAATAAGCATGTACTGAGCATCTACTGTGCCAGCCCACAAAGACAAATATGAAGCTGGGGGCCATAGAGTCTGGGTAAGACCTGATGGGCATTAGAGTCCCCAGTTGTTCCCACCAGCCCCAAGCCCAGCAGGGTCCTCAGAAGAAAGCCTCTGTCCGGCCTGTGCCTTCTTCTTGGGGTGGGAAGGGAAAGATGATCCTGGAGACCAGCCCAGGGAATGAGACTGTCGTGAAGCATTTATCAGGTCGGGTCATCCCTGAGGACTTAGGGGTGGGCAGAGATGCTGGGCCTACCTGCAACCATCCATTCACTCGTTCACGTATTCTCCAAACCTTCACTGAGCACCTACCATGTGTTAGGCAGGCCCTGTCACAGGTGCCAAGGATACCAAGATGATTCAAGTCCACGCCCACCCTTCCACTGCTCCACAAGGAGCCCAGCCAGGGTCCCGCACACAGTAGTGGCTGCAGCCCTAGGTCATCTCTTGCCCCTGGGAGAAGGTGCAGTGTTTCAGGAGAGGCCAGCGCTGGGGAGACTTCAAACCATATAAGCCCGACACAGGGGAGAGACCAGTGGACAATAGGACCTACCCAATAAAGGCCTGGGAAATCATCCCTCAAAACAACCCTTGAAGAGTATAACCCCGGAGCTCAGTGGGAAATGCTGAAAAGTCAGCTGAGAGCTCTGTAAGGGTGGCCGTGCCTCCCCAGCCGCCCTCTTGATCAGTGCCCTCCAACCCGGCAAATGTTCTGGGTGCACTGGAACCTCAGAGAGTGGGCACCAGCTCTTCACAAAGGGCAGTTTCCTTTAGAAGACAGAGCAGGTAGTAGTCCGGGCAAGTGAGAGCCACCCTCGGAGAGGCGAGTGGGAGGAGTCCCACCTGTAGTTTTACAGTGAGAAGGGGGTAGAAGAGTCCACTGAGGCTGGAAGCCGGGCACTTGGGGTGCCCATCTCTTCGGTTCCCCAAGAGCAATGGTTCTTTACACGTTAGGATTTCACAGGTCAGTGAAATCTGAGAGGAAAAAAATGGGTATCTGACATTGATTTGCAAATGTTTATATTGCCAAGTAAGCCATTTTAAAAAGTAACTATCATCTCTTATCACAATTATTTCATCGAAGTAAATTTTTAAGGCCAAAAAAGTTTTTAAAATAATCTTGGTGCTTCAAAAAGTGAATATATGTAATTTCATGCAAACTTATTCCAGTAGCATTTAATTTTGTTTGGTTGGGGACACAGACATCAGTGGGCAGGTGTTTGAACTGGAGTTGGGCTTGGGGTTGAGGTGGGGACCTGAAACTTGCCCTGTTTTGGGGGGTCCCTCCAGGACCAGTGAGGAGTGGGGCGGAGGAAGGGCTCTGAGGCCACACAGGAGAAGGTCCTCGGAGCTGTCCTCCGAGTGGTTAGGGGAGAGGCTACCTGCCTCCCCAGGCTCTGCAGACAGACCCTGGAGCGCGCCCTCTCCTTGGCTTATCAGAAACTCCGGCAAGCCGCCCAGCAGAAGCTGCCCATGGACATGCTGGTGCTGGAGGATGAGAAGAACCAGGGGGCAGCTCCCAGCCTGGCCTTACAAAAGGTTAAGGTAAGTGGGCGAATCCAACGTCGTATGGAGCTCAGGGTGCAGGACAGGCAGCTGTGGCCTTGCTCTGCCTAGTGTGGTCCTTGCAGCAGCAGCTCAGCGCCCCGGAAGCATGTTAGCGATGCAGGCACCTGGATCTGGGTCTCATCTGCATCTCCTGGTCCTGGGAAGGAAAGCTAGATTTAGGTTCTTTCTCTCTAGAAAGTTCTCCCATCTGCCCCTGCCCCCGCCAGGCTAAGCTCAGTGGTCCCCATGTTCCCACTGTGGGGGTTGATGGGCCACGCCCATGCAGGGCCAAGAACGTGTGCGCAAGACATCCCTAGACCTGCGGCGGGAAATCATCGACGTGGGCGGGATCCAGAACCTCATCGAGCTGCGGAAAAAACGGAAGCAGAAGAAGCTGGCCGCCCTGGCCACCCCGGAGCCGCCTCCAGAGCCTGAGGAGATAGTAAGCGTCCTGGGAGGACACCTGTGTGGGCAGGGGAGCCCTGGAGGGCCTGCATCCCCACACAGCGGCCCTCCGTGATGGCATTTATGCCCTCCAGACTGGCCCTGTGGAGGAGGAGACATTCCTGAAAGCAGCGGTGGAAGGGAAAATGAAGGTCATTGAGAAGTTCCTGGCCGAGGGGGGTTCCCCGGACACCTGTGATCAGGTGATGTTCTCACCCACCCCTTCATGCATGCTGGCCTCCCTTTCGGAGTTGCCCCCCGCCCCACCCACCTGTGCACTTCTGTGAGAACAGGTGTTGAGTGTGCTTCGGGAGGGGTGTCCTCAGATTTGGAATGCCTCCTTCCCCTCGAAGGAATTTGTCTAAATCCTTAAACCCTTTCAACATGAACCCCATTTGGAGTCCCAGGTCACGTGGTTATCTTAGGAAAGAAAGAAGAATGGAATCAAATAAAAAGAGCCCAAGACCAGGAGTTCAGGGCTTGCATTCCATCTCGTGCACTCCCTAGCCACGTGAGCTATCGTTAGGCCCATCAGCTCTCTTCACCTCAGTCTCCCCCTTTGTACAACAGCCTGCCTCCTCCTTCGGGGCGTATTATGGAGATCAAATGGCATAACAGTGCTTTGATAAGTGTTGAATGAATGAAAAAACTGTAAAGCACGTGCTAGGACATGATAGTTTTGTGTTGTATGTATATCAAAGTCCTTTAACTTTTTAAAATTTTGTTGTGATAAAATATATATGGCATGGACTATGCCATTTTAGCCACTTTAAGTGTACAATTCAATAGCCTTGATTACATTTATAATGTGCAACTATCAGCACTATTTTCAAAATGTTTCCATCACCTGTCCTACTTTTTGTTGTTGTTGTTGTTTCCTTGAAACAGCCTCTTACTCAGTGTGCAGGGTGCTCTCCCGAGCTCGTAAACTGGGGTTGAGCAAATTAACCGGCACCCCCTGCAGTCTGCATTACCATAGATTTAGACTACATGTCTCTATTTTTCAAACTCCAGAGTCTTAATATTCTTGCTCTATCTAAGCATCTCCACCTCTGAGCACTGTGTGAGTTATTGGGAGTACGAGAAAGAAAAAGACAAGGGTTAAAAGTAGCTGGGAACCTGATGTTTCAAGAGGCCAAAGCAGAAAGCTATTGGGAAGGGAGGAAGTTCAGTCTTTTCTTGAATCAGTAATCCGGGTGCACCTGCCCACCCTGGCCCTGGGCTAGGCACACGGGATATAGAGTCAAGTGAGACTCAGCCTGCCCTCAAACACTCTCTCACGCTGAAGGGTTGTCTGGGCACCTGGGTTAGCTCTTGCCTAGAGGTTTCAAGAGGTTAATAGCACTTGAGCTGCATCTTGAAGGATCAGCAAGAATTCATCAAGCACTCAAGGGAGTGAGGGCCAGATGGGCATTCTGGGACACAGGGAGCAGCCTGTGCGAAGGCCTGGCTTGATGTACTTGGAGGTAGTGAGAAGGTCGGAGTCTCCAGGACATAGAAGGAATCCAAGGCTGGCCTGGATAGAGCATGAGGAGCTGGTGGAACACAGAAGAGGTGGAGACCCAGTGCAGGGTCCAGAATCAAGCTGGGGTGAGGCCTTGGCCTCAGTCTATGTGGGAGACGGGTTCAGGCCTGGGGCAGCAGGTCGGGCCTTGACAGTCACTATGGGAACAGTTTCGAAGGACTGCACTGCACAGAGCTTCCCTGGAGGGCCACATGGAAATCCTGGAGAAGCTTCTGGAGAGTGGAGCCACTGTGGACTTTCAGGATCGGGTGAGCAAGAGGGCAGGTATTGTGTGGCAGGCGGGAGGTGGGTCTGGACTCCCTCTCTGTATGACAGCCTGAGACACAGAATGGCTGCCTCAGGGGCCGGGCCCCACCTCTAGTGCGTTGGATGACCTTGGGCAGTCCCCTTCTCCTCCTCTGTGAATCCGGCTTAAACTAGATGGGTCCCCAGGGTTCTTATGTTCCTCTTGACCCATTGGCGAGGCACTGAGGTGCCCCATCCCTTCCCTGTACCCTTCTCCTAGATTTCTCCCTCCCCTTTTGGATGGGGCCCTTTCCCCCAGGGCACTTTTTTCCCCTGAAGCTCTGCAACTGGGCTCCATCCCTCCCTTCCAGCTGGACTGCACAGCCTTGCACTGGGCCTGCCGTGGGGGCCACTTGGAGGTGGTGAAGCTCCTGCAAAGCCGAGGGGCAGACACCAATATGAGGGACAAGGTGGGGCAATATGCTTACAGTTATCGGGGTAGCTGCAGGCGGGGAGTGGGAAGCAGAGGGTGGAAAAGCCAGGGAAGGCGGGAAGGCAGTGAATGAGCCTGGTTGCTGGATCACGTCCATCAACTGCAGGCCCCTGGAAACCATCATCTGGGATGGGAGCAGGAAGAGCAGCCGAGGGGGGAGAAGAAGAGATTCACTATCTTGGGGGCTTTGGGGCCACCCAAAAGACGCAGGATTTGTTCATCCATGCAATCCTTTGTCATCCTGTCTATCTATCCATTTATCCATCCATTCACTTATTTATTCATTCACTCATCTTTTATTTATTTATTCCTTCGTATGTGACCTTGAGAAGTGACAGCCTCTGAGCCTCTGTCGCTCATCTGTAAAGTGTCTTGCAGAGTTCTTGTATAGATTAGGTGAAAAAAAGTATGCAAATTAATTATTTATTCAACATAAGACTAATGTTTTATACGCTTTTGCCATGCCCATCACATAGTCATCTCTCAATAAATGATATCTATTATAATTATTAAAAGCAGGGCAGAGTAGGGAGCAGTTGCTCATAGCTGGGTGAGAGGGGAATCATGGAAGGCTTCCCAGAGGAGGCTTCAGAGTTAGGCCATTGGATAGGATGGGGAGAACGGTAGTATTCCTTGCCCCTTCAGGGATCAGGACTTGGAACTAGGACACGGGGGAGGGATAACTCTAGAATCGAGACAGCCCCCCTCCCAAAGGTACACAGTCCAGGCCCTTCAGCCAGCCATTTCCTGCTTCCTCCCTACCCAGCTGCTGAGCACCCCCCTGCATGTGGCCGTGCGAACGGGACACGCGGAGATCGTGGAGTACTTTCTGTCCCTGGGCCTGGACATCAATGCCAAAGACAGAGTGAGTGTCTGAGTTGTCTCTTGCCCAGCCCCACCATAGGGGTAGGGCAGCCTGAGGGCTCCCATGTGCATGTGTGGGCCATGCTGAGTGTTGCACTGGCTCTAGGAAGGAGACAGTGCTCTGCATGATGCTGTGAGACTCAACCGCTACCAAATCATCAAACTGCTGCTCCTGCATGGGGCTGACATGATGGCCAAGAACCTGGTAAGTTCACTCCTTTCCCAACTCAGTCATCAGCGTGCACGGCACTGCCAGGCCCTGTGCTGGGCACTCCGAGGAAACACAGAGCTGAGCAGGGCCCAGCCTGCCTGCCCTTGGAGCACTGTCACAGGGGAGAGTCTCTCCAGGACCCTGGGGTTGTCAGGCCCACCCAGCTGTTCAATCCTCTCTATGCTCATCCATGTCCAGAGAGCAAGTGCAGAGAAACAGCCTGGAGGGGTGGTTAGGGAACTTCCCAGAGGCCCCCAAACAGACCAGAGGGGTCCTGATGTCCAGCCCCAGGGAGGCCAAAATCATGGAGGGACAGAGCTGGAAGGAACCTAAGCACCTGGTGGGCGTGGCCATTCTTGGCACACCGTGTTTGTTCCTGCTGGTCCTTGAGTTCTCTTGGGAGCCCATGTCCCCTAGTCCAAGCTCTTCTTTGGGATGCAGAATAATCATGAAAGACAGGAGAATGGTGGGGGGTCCCCCTAAATCAAGAAAGCCTGAGGGAATATGGGCAAGTCGGGAAACTATGGGAAGGGTGTAAATGAGGACTTTTCCACCTCGACATTATTCACATTTGGGGCTGGATAATTAATTCTTTGTTGTGGGGTCTGTCCTGTGCATTGAGGGAGGTTTAAGCAGTGTACCTGGCCTCTACTCAAGATGCCAGTAGTACCCATCCACCACCCACCCCCACTTCCACCCCCCAGCTGTGATAACCAAAAGGTCCTCAGACATTGCCACCTGCTCCCTGTTGGGACTCGCTGGTATGGATGAGGGCACCTTCTGGTACAGCCTTCTGAGCAGTGACCCGATCTCCTCTTGGTGCCCCCAGGCAGGAAAGACTCCCACGGACCTGGTGCAGCTGTGGCAAGCTGACACCCGGAATGCTCTGGTGCACCGTGAGCTGGGGTCAGAGCAGAACGGGCTGGAGGGGGCTGCTGAGAGTGGGCGAGAGACCCCCCAGCCTGTGCCAGCCCAGTAAACACCTGAATGGCCCCGGACCTGAGCCATTCTTCTGGGGAAGACCCAGGAGCACACACAACCTACTGAAATAAAAAAAAGTAATTTTGCTATGTGTGACATTTGTTTCTTTTTGTGTCTGAAATAGTTAGGCATGCAAGAATGAGCTGGGGAGGAGGGGACTGGGACCTTTTTGGCCACTTGAGCCAGCCCTGCTGCATCTCCTCTTCTCCTCCTCTCTTTACCCTGTCACCCCCTTCCCAAGTCCCAGCATGGATCAGCTTCGCTGTGCACTCGTCCTGGCCCGCCCCCCACCTTGTGACTGTGGGGCTGTGTATAGCCAGCACAGGCCTGTCACGTGGCAGCCTTGACAGGAGGAGCCTGGTTGGCAAGTGGGGCAGCCAAGGGACTGTGGATCACCCAGGCCTGCCACACCTCCCACAGGCTCAGCCAATTGGCTCCTCCAACCAACCACGGAACTGCCAAGAGGAAGCTGGCAGGGCTCCTGGCTTCGGGGCTGGGAATTGTAGAAGGAGGGCCTAGGCCCTACTAGAGACACCCTTTAGTGTCAGGACCCCAGGAGCCAGCCCTCTAGCTAGTAGAGGGATGTGGGGTTGTGACATTTCTCTAGCTGCTCTCCAGAGACAAGAAGACCCCCCTGGGACCTACAGGCCTAGTCTTTGACCCTGGGGACACCCAGCCCAGACTGCCCCAGGGCTGAGAAGTCAGGGGGCAGCAAATTTTTAACTAGACACATTGATCATTAACAGGGATAACAAGGAGTCCAAACAGCCTCCCATAAGGGCAGAGGCTAGCTGGACCCCAGGCCTCCTGTGGAGATGCTGGGCCCCCGAGTCTTGTCCTCCGTGAGGCAGGGGCTGAGCAGGGGCTTATCTAGGAATGTGGGGGTCCGAACTTCAGGGGAGGGGAAGAAAGTGGACATTGCAGGCATCTACCCCCCTGTGACCACCCCCTTCACCGCCACTGCAGAGGTGGACTATGGGAAACTGGAGGAGAATCTGCACAAACTGGGCACCTTCCCCTTCAGAGGTAAGTGGGCCTGTCCACCGTGGGGCTCAGGGGAGGTGTGAATGACACTGCTCTCTTCAGCCAGACGCCAGAGGAAGGCACACAGACTGTCAAGCCGCTCAGGAACAGTGGACTACCCTGGGGTCACTTTATTATGGGACAGGGGCAGAGAGCACTGGTCTGAAGTCAGGAGATAGGTGGGAAGCTGGCCTGGGACCTTGACTGAACCTCTCCTGCCTCAGTTCCCGCAGCTGTAAACTGCTAAAGCACCGTCCTAGCTCTCAGCATTAGCGCGGGGATCAGACCAGATAATGGGCGTGAATGTCCTTGTCCAGCAGGCACTCCGTGCAGGTGCAGGGGCGGCCAGGTGCCAGGTGGCAGCCCAGCCAGCAGGCTCATTTCCCTCAAAGCCTTGTTTACACTCTTCCGGGCAAAGCCTCCCTTAGCTGAATTAATTCCTGTTCTGGGTCCTCTGACTCACTTCCCCCCCAGCACATTAGTTTTCCCTCGCTGAGGCCAGGGCCCAGATCTTATCTGTGGCACTCAGCTCGTCACCCAGCCACAAGTGCAATGAGTGAGGGCAGAAGAAGTGGGAAAGCCCTCCCGTCCTGCCCTGCCCACCCTCATCCATCACTCGTGAGAACTCCCCGAGACAGTACTCTCAAGAGCCCCACTTCACAGATGGGAAGATGAGGCTCAGAGTGACACGGTCACTCGCCCAAAGTTGCTTACTACTACATGGCTGGGCTGGGCTTTGAACCCAGGTCTCACTGCACAGCCATGCTGAGTTTCACCCCACCGCACTGACTGCCGGAGCTCAGGTGATTTCTGCAGCGCCTGGGCAGCGCCAGCTTTGGGAATGGAGTGGCTCCATTGAAGGCGGTGAGTGGAGCAGTTAAGAACGTGGACTCCAGCCCAGCTGGGTGGCTCAGTTGGTTGGAATGTCATCCCGAACACCAAAAGGTTACAGATTTCATTCCTGGCCAGGGTACATACCTATGTTGCAGGTTTGATTCCCCATTGGGGCTCGCACTCTCTCTCCCTTCCTTCCTTCCTTTCTCTCTAAAATCAGTAAACACCCTCGGGTGAGGATTTTTTTAAAAAGGAATGTGGGTTCTAGATTCAAATCACAGCTCTGCCACTGACTTAGCTGTGGGCTAGCACCTCTAAACTTCAGCACCCCATCTGACACCCGGGAGTAATCATGTGCGTCTCATACGATGGTTGGGAGAAAAATCTGGGAGAATGCAAGTGAAAGCATGCTGTGAGTTGTAGAGTGATACACTGAAAGGTACTGATTCCAATAGTAACAGTTATTAGAATGGCAGTACTGTTGGAACTGTGGGCAAAGCTGCTTTGGGACAGTGACTGCTGGCCTGGCTGAGACCCCGTTCGTCTCTTGGTGCTGAAGTGATGTGATCCTTCCCTAGGGGACAATGAATGTCTTGTGGCCACCCCCATGCTGAGCTGTGGCACAAACTGTTAAGTAAATTTCTGCTGGGGCTCAGGGCTTTGGGGCCTGAAGGTCTGAGCTGAGGCTGTATTCTCTTGAAGCAAAGTGAAGAGCTCCTTGAATCTCTAAGAGGAGAAAAGATTCTGCTTCACCTTCCAGGTTCGAGGGCACCTTAGTGCAGGGGGTGGGCAGGGTAGACTTTGCATCTGATGTATGGCTGCTGCCCAGAGAATAGGCAGCAATGGGGAGTATGGCTGCTCCACAGAGACCCCCAGGTTCTTTGGACTCCCCCCCCCCCACCGCCCCACAACTCCTGCAGAGGGGACGGTGGTGCCCGGGGGGACACAGGCAGCGGTAGACTTGGCAGGATGCTGGACTATCTCCCCTGCAGCCCACGCAGGCGCCTGCTCCAGCCTTGTCTCTGTGTGGGGGTGAGGGGAGAGGCAATGGGCTGTGTAGGAAGAGCCCAGCATCTGGAGTTAGATGACTAGGAAAGAATTCTGGTTCCACCAATCACAGCAACTTTGGAGAAATTACGAAACCTCCCTAATGAAGTTTCCTCATTTTAGAATGGGAATTGAGACATAGGGTTCAATGCATTTCTCCTCCCAAGGAGCTCAAGCATGAGGCCCTGGCACAAAACACACGAAACCACCGGGTCCCATCACTGCTCCCAGGACACAGCCAGATGCCCAGGAAGGGAGCAGGGAGCCACTGTAGCTGCAAGGTCTGTGCGTCACTTCCCTGATCCCTGCCCCACGTTGCAGTTCGGCACTCCTGGACCGAGGAGAGAACCGTCCCCTTTCACATTGCCAAGGTCTCCAAAGTCAAAGGTCCTCCAAAGAGGGGAACCTGCCCTTGATGAATCAGCGAGCAGCTAGAGACAGTTAGGGAAGGCATTGCTTAAACTCTGTAGCTCTTTTCTTTTTTATTTTTAATTACAGTTGATGTACAATATTATGCAGTGATTAGACATTTATATAACTTACAAAATGATCACCCCAATAAATCTAGTACCCATATAACACCACATGTAGTTATTCAATATTATTGACTATTGTAGCTCTTTTTATTTTTTCACTGTTAATTTGAACTGATTATTTGAATAAAGAGTATTCTTTTAGGTAACAGTTATAGCCACAGACTAGCGGCGGAGTTGCTGTGTAGGGGACATTTGGTCCTGAACTCACTCCCACAAACCACCTCAGAGATGAACTTTGAGTTGTTGTTTCCAAATGAGGTCGCCAGACAAGCGCAGCACTCCTCCGGCCCGCCTGGGGAGCGGACCTCCTGCAGCACTTACACTGCCATCTTACTCCCTTAGTGTGTGGGCTGGACCCTGGCTTCTCGTGATGGGATAGAATATGTTCGTGTATATTAAAGCCCCTACTGTGTTAAATACAATGTTTTGTTTAAAATATTACAGTTTTTTTTACAAACCCCTTTTGGCATTTTTTTCATTTTTAAAAATGTGTATGATGTCTCTGGGTGGGAAAATAGCGTGGTCCTGGCCTGTTTCCTCCCGCAGAGGCCTGGGCATAACGGGGGACTGTCGGCCAGGCTGTTGGTTGTCTGTACATATGGAGAGCCTGTATGTATGGCTGACGGGCCAACCCGCTTACAACGTCCCTGAGCCCGTTTTTGGGGGTAGGCTGGGTGGTGGTGGAAAGTTCCGGGTTGCAGGTTCATCACTAGGGCAATAGGCAGCAGCCCCATCCCGGAATGGCCCCAGGGATCTGGGGCCTGGTGACATCTTTTGTCCTGTCTGTTCTGCTTTCTCAGTCCTGCTGACCCCCACCCACCCATTTGTGACCTCATGTTATTCCAGAATGAGCTCCTTGCTGGGCCCCTTTTCCTTCTGGACCTTGCTCCATAATGGGGCTGGGAGTTGATGGTGGGGATGGAATGCTGAGTTGGCAGCTGTGGGTGCTGGATGGAGGAAGAGAGAATCCAGAGACTGAGAACTGATAAGGAGGACTGAGTTGCAGAACGGGTCACAAGCAGAAGACGGAAGGGACTCAGAGTTGAGGAAGCTGGCCTTCCACTGACCTTGGGGACAGCTGTCAGGGTGGGAGACAGAACCTGGACCCTCAGGCAATGTCTGCCAAACTGAACAAGAGGGACGCTGTGGCCTCTCCCCACCCCGCCCCCACACCAATGAACCTCATAATGGGGTTCATTGCTGAGGCGGGAGGGGCATCCTAGGAAGGGTGCAGCGGGGGGCCTGCTGGCCAGACACCCACAGGGAGCTTGCCCTTTCAAGCATGAAACATACCATCTGGGCTCCCCCACTCCCAGTGTGCTCTTAGGTCTGCCTGCCTGGCGTAGGGTCCTGGAGAACTTCTTGGAGCTCATCCAGCAGCCATCATGCAAGGTGGTGCTGGGGACAGTCCTCTTACTCGGAGGTGGAGGCCTCATGCTGTGGCTTCAGAGGAAGAGGAGAAGGAAGATAGCTTCTGAGTCTCCACAAGACGAGCACGAGCCACAAAGCACACAGCGCCACAAAGCACAGAATGACAACTGGATCAAGTCTCACTTTAGCCGCCTTTCCGAAGAGAAGCTGGCCACCCACGGCGGTACCGCCCCTCCACAGCCTAATAGTGGCCACAGAGAGGCCAGCACCATGATGCTCATGGAGACCGCCCCCTCGAGGCAAGGAGAAGCAGGCACTGCTCGCCACCAGGGGCCCTTCCTGAACAAGCAGAAGGTTTTTGGGCCCTCAGTGGTCAAAGAGACCCACAAGGGGTCCTCATCAACAGATGAGGCTACGTGGTCCGCCGTGGCTAGTAGCACTAAGGACATTGACGCCAAGGGACGGCAGCTGGCTAACTCCATGATGCAGCGGGCCATGGTTTACCAGAATTCAGGCCACGTGGAACCCAAGGACATCAACCAGGAGGAGCTGAAGGCCCTCGGGGAAGTGGAGATAAAGCTGAAAAGTAATTTCCTCACCCAGCGGGAAACCACTGTAACTGGTATGAACCACACACACACCTTCCATGGCCACGGTCACCATGGCCACCAGGATCATCCAGGCCACCCGAGCCACCAGAGCCACAGCCTGCCCAACCGCAGCCATCAGCCCTATCACCCCTTTGAAGCCACCTAACCACAGATGGAGCGGCCCCTTCCCCCAACAGGGTTGGTACACAACCACAGGCCTGTTTTCTCTCCCGTGGGACAACCTGTGTGGCCCAGAGTAAGATGCTCCACCCTGATCCCTTCCACCTTCGGCCCCCTCGGGGGTCCTGGGCCCCTCTGACTTCATGAGCAGGGTCTGCCACAGAGGACAGCCCTCGTGGAGGGAGAGCTGGGAAGAAGCACAGCAACTGAAACAGACTCACAGGCCCCTGCACCCACCCCCTGTGCTCACCCACTGAGAGAAGACAGATGAGGCAGATCCCAGGAGCAGCTGAGAGCCCTGCGCTGACGCCACAAGCCTGGAACTGAGCCAATAAAGCCTTGTACACCCTCACTCTGAGTCTGGGGGCTCTGTGGCCAGCTTCAGTGCTGGCAGGATATGGGGAGAGGGTCCTCTCGGTGTGGGCCCTGCCCTGGGGCCTTTTCACTGGGCTGATTTCAGACACCATAAAATGGCTTCCCTGGTCTCAGGTTCTGGGGCTGGAATATCTCCAGAGGGCTGCACATCCACCAACCTGCTGTTGCCAGGGAAAGAGGGAGCAGCCAGGAATTGGGGGGGGGGGGTGAGATAGACTTCCAGAAGCAAGGGAGTAAGTGGGGTGGGCTCTAGGCCCCTGTCCTATGGGTGCCTTCCTCACCGGGTCTACCCCTTCTCCAGTCACACAGCATCCCCCCTGCAGTGCCCTGTCTGCCCGCCTGCTCCCTCGGGCCCCCGGGGGGTCCCCCTGGTGCTCCCCCGTCACCCTTAGGGCTACTGTGCTCTGTATTCTCTCCTTGTTTACATTAGCATGGCCAGGCTGGGACTGTCGCTTCTGCTAGCACGACCAGCAGCCCCTTCTTTTTGAGGGTTGGTCTGTGTGTCCCTGGTGGGTGCCACTTCTCTGTTAGGTGTTATGGCACAGACCCATGAAGGAGACCCTCACATTCTCTCCGTGTTGCAGACCAGGCTCCTGAGGCTCAGAGACGTAATCTGCCTGAGATGGCTCAGACCATCCTCGGTGTCACTGGGATTAGACCCTGCTTCGGCTGACCCGGAAGCCCCAACCCAGGCCCCTGCCCTGTTCCTACCCCAGTCCCTTGCTCACGGTCCCCAGCTGAGTCCCCCTCTCTCACGCTTATCCCTGTCCTCTTCCCGCATGTCCTGACACTGTCTGTGCCCCCTGACAAGCCTCCTGCTTCCTCTTCCAGGGTCCCAGGAAGCCATTTCTAAGGCAACAGGTGACCCCCAGTGAGGCAGTTAAAGGGAGGCAGTTGTCTCCCCCCGGGAACTGAGAGAAGTCGGCAGCATGGCACTGGCTAACCCCCAGTGAGCCCTTCATGTAGAAATTTCTTCCTATTTCTATCTGTTATGGGTTTGCCAGTGGTTTCCAACCCGTGGGCCTGAAACTCCAGGGAGAAGGTACACAGAATCATTGCAAAGAATGGATAAATCTATCAACATCCCAAATCTTGTCTATGAGTTTTGGTGTAGAGTTGGGAATATTTAAATATTTTTGACATTACTAATAAGTGACTTTATATGAATGCTGATATATATGTTTGTATATTTAAAATACTTTCTAGTAAAAACTTAAATTGGAAAAAATGGGGTCAATCACACGGGCAAATGTTGGAGGCTGCTTAATTAGACAAAAGGCAAGAGTAGTGAGGTTTGGCTTCAAAGCTCTGGCTTACGAGCTAACTCTCGTCAGTGTGGCTCAGTTGGTTGAAATGTTGTCCCATAACTAAAAGGTTGTGGGTTCAATTCCCAGTCCAGGCACATACCTGGGTTGTACAACCCTCATCTGAGCACAGATCCCGGTCTGGGTGCATACAGGAAGCAACCAGTTGGTTCTTCTCTCTCCCATCAATGTCTCTCTCTCTCTCTCTCTCTTTGCCTTTTTGTAGAAGAAATGAAAATAATGTCCTCAGGTGCGGATTAAAACAAATGCTTATACACAAAATTTAAGATTAGCTAATTGTGACTTCAGAATCTTCACTTTTAAAAAGTTTCCAACTGGCAAAATTCAAATAAAATCTGTAGCTAGTGTGGCACCAAGGTCAATTCCCCGGTTCTGACATTGTACTGCAGTCAGGTAAGAAAGACGCTATCACTGATGTGGGCTTCGGGAGTGATCTTCAGAAATCTCCTATACGATTTTTTGCACATTTTCTATAAACTTAAAAGCAGTTCAAAATTAAATTAAAAAAAATTTTCAGACCACTTAGCTGTGAGTGCGTATTAAAGTTTCATTACAGTTGCACTGTAAGGAAAATGGCTACTAAACAGCCAACTCAAAAATACACTCTGGTCAGGATGTTTCTGTAAGAAAAGAGAACGGTTAAATCATTGTTGGACTAGCTACAAGAAGGGCAGTCAACAGTCACTAGACTCTTGCCCGAAAGTCAGCTGGGGCGGGGAGTGGCCGGTTTCCCAGACCAAGGCTCAATTCCATTAAAGCTTTCTCAAGAAATTGCTTCAGCGTTTTGTCAGGAACCTTCATGTCTTCCCTGTGGGAGGTTACGAACCACATCACAAAGGAGCTCTGCCCCAGACCAGGTGCAGGACACCTCTTCTTTCACACAACACACTGTCAGCATGCCCTCAACTGTCAGCGTGCGAAGATGTCACAGAGGAAGCCAGAGTGAGGGGGACACCATCCCTGACCTTGATGATTCTGGGCAGAGTAGGACAGGTGCCACGTGAGGAGAACAGTGTGTGGAGAACACAAGGGGGGCGGGGGGCGGGGAGGAAAGGCCCTGTGGCCCTCGCAGCCCCAGAGGAGCTGAGACCAGGAGGGGGGTCCAGGCAGAAGGGAACAGACAGCGTGAGCAAAGGTGTAGAGGCAGGGAGGAGGCAGTGGTCTGGGTGATTTTGACAGTCGGTTTGGCTGCAGGGCAACATTTAGAGACAAACAAAAGGTAGGAGAAACGCCAGAAAAGGGACTATAGGGCCTAGAGCCCAGGAGGATTTAGGAGGCCCCCCACTACATTTCCTCGCTTGAGAAATTTTGCCTAACCCCATAGGTGGGGTGGAGGAGAATAAAGCGTTCAAGGACCTTTGTGAATTTTTGAGTAGGCAACAGGGAAAGGTAAGGAACGTGTAGTAGAAGAAGTTCAGAGAGGACACATCCAGGGGAGAGATCCCAGGAAGACTTCTCAGAGGAGGTGGCAAAGATTATGGGCTAAGGGGACACAACAGTGAAAGAGCCTGTGATTCCTTTTGGCCACAGTGAGTCTCTAGGTTGCTTGTGCATCCCCAGCCCCAGACACCCACTACTCTTCCCAGGCCACTCTGGCTGCCCAGAACAGTCAGCATAACCAAGAGGGAGAGGCTTTCCAAGTGGGTGTTTTTGTCTTATAGCTGGAGGGGCCTGGGAGGTCCAGGGGCAGCCTCCCCTCCCACACTGGCCGTCATCCTCAGGTCGACCGAGGCCGCCCTCAGGATTGAAGCTTGAGCACTTTCTCCTGACTCTGAAATAATTACAGCTAACACCGAGTGCCAGGTTCCATTCTAAGCACTTCACAAACTATCTCATTTAAGCTCCATAACAACTCTTCGAACAGGGTGCTCATGTTATCCCCATTTTTCATTTGATGACGCTGAGCTTTGGTCAAGCCATTGGCCCAAGATCTCATAGCTGGAAAAGGGGCACTCTACTGCCCTGGTCCACCTCTCATTTTCCCTGTTCCCACTGGGACACTGGCCTTTTCCTCCTCTCTAGTCCCCTCTCTACAACAGCAGAGACACATGGGGGCTGAAACTGGACAGCCAAGTGGAGAATGCTCTTGGGGCAGCAGTTCATAGATTTCAAAGGGCTTTCGTGTACATTTCCTTCTTTGTGCCTTTAGGGGTAGCCCTCTAAGGTAGGATCGAAATGATTTTTATTGTCATCCCATAGGGAAGGAAGTGGATGCCTTAGGTGGTGTGGCTCAGTAGAATTAGTGCCGGGCTGTGAACCAGTATGTTGCCGGTTCGATTCCAGTCAGGGCACAAGCCTGGGTTGCAGGCCTGGTCTCCAATAGGGGGTGTGCAAGAGGCAACCACACACTGATGTTTCTCTTCCTTTCTTTCTCCCTCCCTCCCTCTCTCTCTGAAAATAATTAAATAATTTTTTTTAAAAGGAAATAGAGACTCAGAGGCGTGATGTGACTGGCTCAATGGCCAGGTGACTTGCATCCAGTGCTTCCCTGACTCTGCCACTCTCTCCTCCCAGCCTGTTATTCCTTCCCTCTTAGGAGTCAGGACTGGGTCAGATGCTCCCTTAAATGACACAAGGAAGAGGCCACTGGCAGTCTGGAGCACAGGGCCTTCCTTCACCTCCCAGAGTGTTAGACCCAGCTGTTCTGCTGTTGAGGCCCCACTGGGCTCCAGAGTCCCAGGGGCCTCTGGGACTGACCGCCCACAATGAAGGGATACTTGGGGGTGAGTGGCTATGGCTGAAGAAGTGGCTGGAGCAAGAACTCACCTCAAACACCTCCAAGGAGGGACGAGGAGAGACGGTAGGTACAGTTAGGGGGAGAAATGTTCTTCCATTTAGCTAAAGGGAGTAGCAGAAGCTTGATCTCTGTCTTTGATCTCTAAATCAGAGGGTGCTGGGCCGGCCACGGTTGCCCTGGGGCCCTCTCCAGGGCTGGCAGCTCTACGAGTGGGGATGACCCACTGGGAAAGCCCTGGGCCCTTATGTAACGAGACAGGAGGAGGCTCCTACGATCAGCTGCCAGCCTGACACAGAGGAATTGGCCTGACACGGAGGAATTGCTCCTAAGGAGGCAATCCAACAGAAGCCAAAAGCTATTTGCTTCAAGATGTTCCCTGCAATGTTAGCAAGACAAAACAAAACAAAACAAAATCCTGGAAAAAATGTAAAGTATGCAGAGCTATCCTGGCAATCTATCCAGTGGACTCTAACGGCCTAGTGAGCAGCACGGAAAAGCTTTGTGGTGTAACCCGGACTCTACATCACACTGTGTCCCCTGAAGATGACTCATGGGAACAGTCTCTCTTGGTCCCAGTGCCGGGAAGCTCTGTGCTTCTCCAGGGCAGCTGCTTGCTTTGGTCTCGAGTCCTGCATATCTGTCGGCTGACCACAGTTCCCTTTTAGCTTTGATCGTCGGGCAGCTCCAAGGCCAATTCGTGGCCCATCGCTCACAGCCGTATGGCAGGGGGTTTGAAATCTATATTGTTCCCGAATTTATTCTCTCCCAAACACTTCTATTTATTAATGATCTTGTGGTACTTTATACTGTATTTGCCAACTATTGAAGAAAAATATATTTTGGAATACAGTTGTGTAGAGAGGAGAAAGAAGAGGAAAGAGAAAGTTTTTTTTTTAAAAAAGGAGG